CACACAAACACACACACACACACACACACACACACACACACACACACACACACACACACACACACACACACACACACACACACACACACACACACACACTCACACAGTCTCACGGACCACAGAGGCTTCCACCCCCCCCACTCTTCAAAATATATATATCAGTCTTGGTGCCAATTTCTTTTTCGCACATTATTTCTGTCACACCTGCATTGGCTAGGCCTACTTCCTGCTGAAATAAAGTACTTATTGCACCCATGTTACAGGACCCGGGCCCCTGTATGCTCCTCAGGCTGAAGCTCACTTACACTGATTTATATCGGCTCTTTTTTCAATCTCTGGAACAAATAGTTGTCTTTTTTTCTATATTAGAATTAGAATTATTATTATTTGTGAGGCGGTTCCCACAGATAGGCTAGGCTTCTTAAATAATATAAGGAAAAGTGTATAATCACAAAAAAAGTAGTCCATTCTGGAAAAATCATGCAACACACACATTAGAAATCATTCTTACTTACTTACTGTATTGTAGACATGAAAAAGTACACTTCAAGATTTCACATTTTGCATCTACAGTTTTGTGTTTCTATGCAATGGATAACAAAATTCACAATATTATTCAGCTTCTCATTATTCTTGGTGATATTATCCACATCAACCCTGCTTTACTTGTGTTATTGTATGGCACCTCACACCACTTTTTAAAGGGAATACATTTGATTTGAACCTGAAAGGACTGAAAGGGAATGAAATTTGAATACTTATTGGCTTGTTCAAACATTCTTTTAATTGTTTTTGCATTATAAGTCTATTACGGACACTTTTTAGGCACACACACCACAAAAATGGATGCCCTGTTTTTGTGTGAGCATGGTTTAAACTAGGGCTGTCAGTCGATTAAAATATTTAATCGCGATTAATCGCATGATTGTCCATAGTTAATCGCGATTAATCGCAAATTAATCGCACATTTTTTATCTGTTCTAAATGTACCTTAGAGGGCTATTTTTCAAGTTTTTAATACTCTTATCAACATATGAGTGGACAAATATGCTTTATATGTTTGTTTATTATCATTTGAACAATGACAAATATTCTCATGAATATTAAACACAACAACCTCTGAACATTACAAATATTCGATTCAACCTGGAACCTCTCATACAATAATACAATACAAAGTGTGTGTGTGTGTGTGTGTGTGGTGTGTGTGCGTGTGCGTGTGCGTGTGTGTGTGTGTGTGTGTGTGTGTGTGTGTGTGTGTGTGTGTGTGTGTGTGTGTGAGAGAGAATGTGGAGAGCTGCCTGGACGCTGCAATCATGTTGCGCGCACTATCCGTGCTGAGTGTGCTGACTTTTCGTACAATGTCCCACTGTCTGGCTACCTGCATAAAGTCAAGTGCTCGGCGCAGTTGTCGGCGAAATGTCATTGAAACAGCTCCTTATATCCGTTAGCGCAGCTAGCTAGCACCAGATGCTAACAACAACAACACGTAAGGTGTGCCTCGCTCGCGCGAGTCGCGCCACACATACACACATACACACACCCTCCCGGTCCTCCCGATGGCCAGTCCGGGCCTGCCGGTGAGCGTGGAAGTGTGGTCTGCCACAAGGGGGCGGCAGGAGCGGGGCTGTAAGCATCAGCTTGTAGATGGTATTTTAAACTCGATGCGCTCTGAAACTACGGGGCGGCCGAGGACAAAAAATACACATGCGTTAATCGCGTTAAAATAATTAGTGGCGTTAATTTTTGTTTGCGTTAACGCGTTATTAACGCGTTAACTTGACAGCCCTAGTTTAAACCCTTCTTGCATCTGTTGCTGGGTGTCTCTGTCCCCAAACTGAACTATTGTTAAACTCCTCTTGTTACAGTGAGTTTAACAGATCAAGTATTTAATAATGGACATAGCCAAGCTTTTATTTGCTTCAAGAATTGTAAACCAGGCAACTGACAGAAGATCCGACGGCAACCTTCAATGATGTGGCACAGATTACTTGGCAAAGCATTGATTTATAACTGCTCTGCATCATCTGAGTGTTTCAAAATGTAAAATCCAGTTCAGAAATACCTGAGGATTTGTCTCATAATCCAGAATAATATTAAGAAAATTGGGCAGATATTGTTCTTTTTAATGTTTTTTTAACCAATACCACACAGCACAGTAATTATTATTTAAATTAATTAGCAACCACCCGGACTTTGAGCTTTAAGAAAAAGGTCAAATGTTAGTGCTATGACATATGTGGTTAGGAAACAACACTTTTTTGTGTGCCATTTTGATGTACAGTAATGGTGTTTTTTTTCCAATTGTGCCTATTGGGGCTGACCTCTTCTGCGCTAATCGATTTGGATTCTAATAAAAGTCTTCCATTTTGCCATTTTACAGGAACATGTGGGATATATTCTCTTGCTTTCGACACAGGACCAAACCATCTTAAACAAGGTTGTGGCAGCTTTACTCTTAGCATCTATATTAAGTAAAAATTGTTTAAATGTGAAGCTTTAGGCAGGTGACATTAACTATACAGGATTCAGCAGAAAACAGCTAGGTTAACAGAGTCAACAAACAGAGCGGAAACAACGTGACTTCCCCCCCAAATAAATCATCCACCATACAAACCACAGTTTAAAGAGGACAAGTTGTCGCTTCAAAGTTGAAGATGTGAAACCAGGGTCTTTTTGTCACCATGCAGTTGCCAGGCAACCAGCTAAGAATAGGAATCAGAAGTTCTTTTTTTTATTTCTTCTGACTGTTGCATTTTACTTCGGAAAGTCTGCTTGTTTTTTCTGTCTCAATGTGATGCCTGGAGTTGAAAATGTACCCAAGACATCTGTGTTCTCCCACCAAAGTCACAGAAGCACATTTTGCTACAGCTCAAATTAATGAATATTATTTGATCATAATATACAATGGTGATGGCAACATGGAAAGTAAGTAAATTATGGAATTATCAGCCTCATGCATTTATAATATGATTATTCAATATAGTCTATTTTTAACGCATGATTCACGATGATGAAGATACAGACAACATTTCACAAAATATCCAAACATGACGACCATCTTGGGTCCATGAGTGGTAATCTGGCCATGAGTTTACACAATATTTCATAATGGACTGAATAAGGTTATGGCCAGAGCCAAAAGAACACCAAAAATATTTGTACAATTATCACGGGGACCCTTAACAAGCATACCAAATATTATCACAAATTGAACAATTTGTAAAGATTTGCAGAATTATCAAGGATTTAAATTCAAATCTATTTAAAATGGATAGCAGTGTAGTGGTTTCTGGTCGGATGGAGACTCCACTTTTGCCAAGGACAATCTAAGTGTATAAAAGTACTTTAACTCAAGTGTGAAATGTAATCACTTACCTGCACATTTTTCCACATCTTCTGGAAATTGAACATTAGTTTATCCATCCCTTCATTTTCTTCACCACTACATGCCCTGCATTTTAAATTTAAAAAACGGGGGGTTACGTATTGTAACCCTAGTTATATAAACACAGGCGGAGCCCTCTACTGGACTCTATGGGTACTACTCTCTATCATGCTGTGCGTGCTTTCACCTACTGAATCTACGTAAACGTAGCCGGCCAATCGGGGCGAGCCTACCTGAATGCGCGCGCAGGCCCACAGTATATAAGGCGGCTACAGCCGCCGCCCCACTATCCTATACACTCTTCAACGAGCGGACTAGGAAAGACAGGGCCTCCAGGTAGAGGGCTCCGCCTGTGTTTATATAACTAGGGTTACAATACGTAACCCCCGTTATATCTCTCACAGGCTCCGCCCTCTACTGGACTCTATGGGTACAGTGGGCGGAGCCCCGATGTATAAACGCCCTGTCGTCCAACAACATCGACCCACCACACCGTCTGGAGCCTACCGCGCACCATGTTCCCCAGGTCCCTCAGGAGCATGGGAAAACATAAGTGCACCACATCCCCCACACTCACACACGCTCCGTGTAGAGTCGGCATGGACAATAGTGAGGAAGGCTCTCCCAGCCTGCCCACATGGGCAGGCGGGGAGAGTCCTCCAGCCCTGTATGGGGCTGATTGTACACCATGTCTCCCGAGTCCCTCAGGAGCATGGGAAAACACAAGTGCTTTATGTCCAGGGGGGGGGGGTCAGATACCTGCTGACCCACAGCCACCCCCCTCTCACCAGTCATGCGTTGCCCCGGCAAGCACAGACGACGAGAAGGAGCCAGACATGTCCAGGAGATAACATTTTATGAAGGGGCCTGGCGTAGACCAAGACGCCGCCGTGCATATATCTTCTACACTCACGCCGCTGAATAAGGCTGTTGACACAGCCACAGCCCGTGTAGAATGTGCACGGACCCCAGTGGGGAGGGCTCTCCCCGCCCGTCCATAGGCATGTGTAATGCACCCGCATAGCCATCCTGCTAGGCGCTTCTTTGAGAGGGCTTTTCCAG